CCCATTTTATAACCGTTGTTCACACTTCGGACCGTTGCAGCATCCCCGTGGTCACATGATCAAAATTCGCCCGCTTGGCAGCTGACTCATATTTATGACGGTTGCGGTGTCAACGTGATCCCCTTTTTGCGACAAGCAAAGGCAATAGGGAAGCTGGATTCACTTAACAACAGGTTACTAGCTTAACAGCTGCAGTGATCCACTTAATAACTGTGGCAGGAAAGGTTATAAAATGGGGGGCAAAATTTAACAATTATCTCGCTTACCCAACATAAGGTTTGGGCTCAATTGTGGTCGTAAGTCGAGGACTCCCTGTACCGGGCCCCAGTTGGGTTTTGGGTTTCCAGACAGCTGTTTCCTACAGCTGGGTCTCTCTCAGGTTTCCTTTAATCTCCTAAAATTTCTCCTTCATTTATGATTTTTTTTTCTCCCTCTCACGGATGGGTTTTGCAGAGAGGCATTGTACTTTAATTCCCCAAATAAATGAAACCAGTGCAGTAAATTTCCTTTATACCTAACATTACCTTTGGCAAGTTCCAAAGTGGTTGAAATTCCTGCTTTTTCCCCTTTCTGTGCAAGTCCAGGTGTCTAAAGCGTTGATTATAGTTCCCGGGGGGTTTAACGTATTTGTTGTCTGGATTGTAACGCGGTCATTTCCCAACTATGGCAGAGATTATTATATCACCAAAATATGCTTTCTTTGCAGAAAATCTGCAGTTCCAGGCTTGACAAAGACAGAGCCAGGCCTAGAAATATAGCAGTTCATTTAGTGACAGCTTAGTAACCATTCAATGTTACAACGGCACTGGAAAAAAGTGACTTATGACCATTTTTCACACTTAATGACTGTTGCAGCATCTCTCTGGTCATGTGATCACGGTCACACTTTCCTGGCATCGTGTGATCCTCTTTTGTGACTTTCTGACATACAACGTCAACGGGGAAGCCGTTACTAACTTAACAACTGCAGGGATTCGTTTAACGACTGTGGGCAGGAAAGGTCCTAAAAGTGGGCAAAACACGTTGACTAACTGTGTCGCTTAGCAACATCAAGATTGGGTTCGATTGTGGTCATAAAGCGAGGACTACCTATAGATGAAGTTGCACCTGGAGGGAGGATGCAAGGAACTTGTCCTCCACCCATAGCAAAGTTGTTAGATGTTGTGTGAATGTTGCCCTCTGCTATAATGGAAGGCACAATGTTGTGCACCCAAAAAGGATGCAGCTTAGTAGAATGAACCCTGGTGTGTAAATAAGAAAAAAATGGATTTCTTCTGCCAGTGAATATCTGGGAACTCTCAGATGAAGCCTCTCCACAAAGCAGGGGGGAAAAAGGAGCAATGGGGCAACCTGGCCATCCCAATGTTCTTTAGATGTTTCTCTGGATTGGAATTCTCAAAAGTCCAAGGTTGGGAAATCCTTTGGAGCTGTAGAGCCCTTGTATGCTCTCCGAGCTTGGTTGTTTTCTTGCAGACATTTCATGACCTAACTAGATAATGTGGGCAGGATCCATTATGGTTGTACGTCAAAGATTACCTGCGGGGAGGGGGGGAATCGACTGGAAGACCTCCAAGGTCCCTTCCAACCCTATTTGCCTTTGATTCTGCTGTTCTGTTATTCTGTTGCTTCTTACTGTTATTCTCTTACTTTGTTATTCTGTTACTCTGCTATTCTGTTATTTGTTACTCTATTACTCTGTTATTCCGTTATTCTGTTATTCCTTTACCTTGTTATTCTGTTACTCTATTATTCTGTTATTTGTTACTCTATTACTCTGTTATTCTATTACTCTGTTATTTCGTTATTCCTTTACCTTGTTATTCTGTTACTCTATTATTCTGTTATTTGTTACTCTATTATTCTATTACTCTGTTATTCTATTACTCTGTTATTCTATTACTCTGTTATTCTATTACTCTGTTATTCCAGTTTTCTGTTATTCCATTATTCTGTTATTCCAGTATTCTGTTATTCCATTACTCTGTTATTCCAGTATTCTGTTACTCTGTTATTCCAGTATTCTGTTATTCTGTTATTCTATTACTTTGTTATTCTGTTACTCTGTTATTCTGTTATTTGTTATTCCATTATTCTGTTATTCTATTACTTTGTTATTCTGTTACTCTGTTATTCTGTTATTTGTTACTCTATTATTCTGTTATTCTATTACTTTGTTATTCTGTTACTCTGTTATTCTGTTATTTGTTACTCTATTATTCTGTTATTCCATTATTCTGTTATTCTATTACTTTGTTATTCTGTTACTCTGTTATTCTGTTATTTGTTATTCCATTATTCTGTTATTCCATTACTCTGTTACTCTGCTATTCTGTTATTTGTTACTCTGTTATTCTGCTATTCTGTTTCCTCTGTTGTTCTGCTGTTCCGTTATTCTGTTTCTCTGTCGTTCTGCTGTCCTGTTACCCTGTTATTCTTTTTTTTTTGGCATAGAAAGGGAGGCTGAGCTCAGCCCCTGCAGATGTTCTGTGTTGCAGCTGCTTAAACACCTTTTTTTCCCCCCTCCTTTCTCTCCCTTCCACAGTGGTATTGGGCTGGCTCGGGCCCACTTTGAAAAACAGCCCCCATCTAACCTCAGGAAATCCAACTTTTTCCACTTCGTGCTTGCCATGTATGACCGTCACGGACAGCCAGTGGAGATCGAGAGGACGTCTTTCATCGACTTTGTGGAAAAGGACAGAGTAAGGTCCAAACTCATGCACGGTTCTTGCAAACGTCGCCCCAACCACACACAGACACACACAGGAAACAGTCGGGATAGAATATCCTCAACCCCTTCCAGTTGCAGTTATTCTGATTTTTTTTTCCCCAGCAGCCATCAGATCCAGCAGAGCTAGACAGTTGCTGGAGTAATGTTGAAAATATCCTTGATGGCTCCCTGAGAGCCTTTTTTCATTCATGTATTTATTCTGTTATTGAACATTTGTATGGAGGGGAGGGAAAGAAAAGATTACCCAGAGGAGACACCCAACATATAAAAGGAAAAAAAGAAGCAGGAATAAATGGCAAGCAAAAACACCCAAGAATCTAAAATAGCATGAAGGGAATTTTGCTGCAACCTATCATTATGACTTATAGCTTTATAAACTACGTCTATCTTTCAAAAAAGGAAGTGAAAATCCCTCTTCACTCAAAGCTGCCAGGTTAACATTTTTAATATGTTTTATTAAGGGTCATTCCAAGATAAAAATACGAATAAACCAAACGTTAGAAACCAAGAGAAAGCGAAAGAGAGAAAAACATGACTCCTGACTTTTTCAGCGCAGTAAAATGCAAAAAACCCACCACTTTAACATTTTGCTTTATACTTCACAACTTTCCAAGCCATTCCTATAATAATAATAATAATAAAATACCCTTTCTAATCAGCAACATCGAAGTTTCCTTTTTTTTTTCCAATTTCCAATAAAAAGTCCAGAACTGGTTTCCAAGTAGAAACAAAACTCGATAAAATCCCATAGATTAAAACACCCCTTTTTCTTCTTCTCTGCTCACTCTGTCAAGCTACATGCTTGGTGCAGTATGAATGGCTACTTAAAACTATCAGCTATGATACTTTCACTCCATGCGAGAAATCTAATTTTCCATAGAGTTAAAGGATGGTCTCTGGTTAAAGACCCTAATCTAATGAAGATGAGGTTTATAGGGCACTGAGGGGGTATTCCGGGGAGTGCTATTTAGATTTTCACACCCACATAGATAAGAGTGGGGTGGGGAGAGAAAGAGAGAGTGAGAGAAGAGGGGAGGAAGGAAGAAAAGAAAGAAGAGAGGGAAAGAAAGGAAAAAAGAAAAGGAGGAGAAAGGAAAGAAAGGGGAAAGGAGAGAAAGAAAGAAAAAGAGAAAGAGAAAGAAAGAAGAGAGAAAGAAAGAGGGAAAAAGAAAGAGAGGTAAATAAAGAAGAAAATGGAAATAAAGAGAGGGGGGGAGAGAGTGGGAAGGAAGGAAGAAAGGAAAGGAGAGGGAAAGAGGAAAGAGAGAAAGAAAAAAGGAAAAAAGAAAGGGAAAGGAAAGAGAAAGAAGAGAGAAAGAAATAAAAAGAGAGAAAGAAAGAGAAGGAGGGAGAGAGAGAAAGAGAGACAGAGTGAGTGAGAGACTGTGAGGGGAGGAAGGAAGAAAAGAAAGAAGAGAGGGAAAGAAAGGAAAAAAGAAAAGGAGAAAGGAAAGAAAGGGGAAAGGAGAGAAAGAAAGAAAAAGAGCGAAAGAAAGAAAGAAAGAAAGAAAGAAGAGAGAAAGAAAGAGGGAAAAAGAAAGAGAGGTAAATAAAGAAGAAAATGGAAATAAAGAGAGGGGGGAGAGAGAGTGGGAAGGAAGAAAAGAAAGGAGAGGGAAAGAGGAAAAGAGGAAAGAGAGAAAGAAAAAAGGAAAAAAGAAAGGGAAAGGAAAGAGAAAGAAGAGAGAAAGAAATAAAAAGAGAGAAAGAGAGAAGGAGGGAGAGAGAGAAAGAGAGAGAGAGAGACAGAGTGAGTGAGAGACTGTGAGGGGAGGAAGGAAGAAAAGAAAGAAGAGAGGGA